TTGTATAACATCAAATAGCACATCATATCTGCTTATCCCACTTTAGTGATTGATCAGTGAGTTCAAGTGGTAACAGCCTGATTCTGTCATTGTAAATTTCTCCAAAGTCTATTTTCTGATGATTTCATCTCTAGGACTTGAAAAATGGTAAAAATTTCCAGTTCTATTATCATTACACAATTATCAGTAAAATTCACTAACTAGAGCTACTTGATTATGCTATAATTAATAGAGGCAAGTTAAGCCCTCTGCTTAAGCTTAGTAGTGTATTATACATCCACTTAAAAAAATAACAATCCTGGACAACTTGGTTTCCTGTCCTGTCAACACCAAACCAATTACTTGTATCATGTATAAAATTTTCAGTGAGGCCAAACATAGCTTTTGCAATTAGGAATTTAGTTCTTTGAATCTTTGAAAAAAAAAAAAAGAAGTTTTTAAATTGTGTTAAAATATATATAACAAAACTTACCATTTTGACCATTTAAAATGTATAACTCAATTGCATTCAGTAGATTAGCGTAGTGGTTATGAATTGGGCTGCTAACCTCAAGGTCGGTCAGCAGTTCGAAACTACCAGCTATTCCGTGGGAGAAAGATGAGGCTTTCTGCTCCTGTAAAGATTTACAACCTCAGAAATCCTGTGCAGGGTCACCGACTCCACGGTACTTAACAACAACAACAACAACCTTCAACACTATTTCCATAAATCTTCCATCAGACTAAACAGAAACTTTGTTCCCAACTCCCTGTCTGCCCCTACATCCATGTCCATGGCAACCATTTACCTACTTTGGTCTCTATGCATTTGCCAATTCTAGCTAGTTATATATAAGTAGAACAATAAGAATATAAGTATTCTTAATTTTGCAACTGACTTACTTCAGTCAGCAGAATGTTTTCAAGGTTCACCCATGTTGTAGCAGGTCTCAGAACTTCATTTATCTTTATGATTAATTAGTAGTACATTGCATATTTCTTATTCCATTCGTCTTATGATGAGCACTTCGGTTGTTTCCACTTTTTCCCTGTTATAAATAGTGTTGCACTAAACACTAGTGTCCAAATATCTGTTTTGAGTCCTTACTTTCAAGTAATTGGTGCATATGCCTAGGGATGAAATTGCTGTTTTGGTGTGGCATTGTGGGTTAAAGTGCTGGACTGCAAGGTCAGTTTGAACTGCAGGGTTAGTGGTTCAAGCTCACCAGTCACTCCTTAGAAACCCTATACAGGGTCGCTGTGAGTCAGAACCAACTCGATGACATTTAACAACAACAAAGGTATTTTCATGTTTAACTTTTTAAAAAACCATATTCTTAACTGCAGCTGCACCATTTTACATTCCAACCAGCAGTGCACAAGGATTCTAGTATCTGCACATTCTTGCGACACTTACTATTTTCTGATTTTGATAATAGCCATCCTAGCTCTGAATCCTTTAGACTCTAGGTTCCTAACTCTCAGCATTCTGTAAAACATGGCAGCAATAGTTTAGCACTTGTGTATCTGGATTAAAGCTAGTATGTGTTCTTCTCTTTTCTCTGTGTATTTAAACACATTTTTTTTTCCCCTAGTGTTGGCCCAGCATTCCATATAGCATGGGCTTGCCTACTCTGTATCCATAAAGAAAAAATGTATTAACATCTAGACAAGTAGAATGCCTTATCAGATTATTTTGTTATTTGATGGTTTATGTTTCATGTAGAACCATTTCTATTTCTGAATCTTGGAATCAGCTCTTATCCTACCACACCCCAGCATGTTCCCAGGCCCTACTAAATATGTATTTAGCCTCTTTTATATCAGATCCGTCTTTTCAGTCTCATTCCCACCATCCTACTTCAAGTGTCTCAGCCTCTAGGGCAGGGGTGGGGAACCTTTTTTCTGCCAAAATTTATAACATCGCTCACAGGCCATACAAAATTATCAGTTTAAAAATTAGCCTGCTCTATTTGGTCAAACATTTAATTAACTCACCCTAAAAGATCTCTGGTAGCATAGTGGTTACGAATTGGGCTGTGAACTTTAAGGTCAGCAGTTCGAAACTACCAGCTGCTCCGTGGGAGAAAGATGAGGCTTTCTGCTCCCGTAAAGATTTACAGCCTTGGAAACCCTGTTCAGGGTTGCTATGGGTCGGAACCGACTTGACGGCACATAACAACAACAATGTGATGGCTAGAGTCCTGGTGTGGCGCTGTGGGTTAATGTGCCAGACTGCAAAACTGTTTGAACTGCAAGGTCAGCAGTTCAAGCTCACCAGCTACTCATCAGAAACCCTATACAGGGTCACTATGGGTCGAAATCAACTCAACAGCACTTAACAACACAACAACAATGTGATGGCTAGAATTGCGGTTGCCTTGGTAGAGTCAAACCAAATGATTTCATGGGCCTTATGTAACCCGAGGGCCTAATGTTCCCCACCCCTGCTCTGAGGTCTCTTGTTTCTAATTATCCCTGTCTCCTATCCAGGTTAAATACTCTGGGCCATTTTCAATAGTGTCTCACTGCCAACAAGTCTGAAAATCCCAGCTTTGTGTTTAGACCTCTGCACAGTCTGGCCTCAAGCTTACCTCATCTACTAGGCCAGCCAAACAAGGGTGCTCACTGGTCCTTTGCCACATGCACATGTCCCAGGATCCAGTCCTCTCCTTTAGTGCATACTCAGCTCAAACTTTGTCACTCCCGTAGACTGTCCCTGATTACCATGGTCCCCATTGTGCCTGGCGTGCCCTCAGTCTATGTCCGTGAACTGACTGGTAGATCTCACATGTTTTCTGTATCATAGTTAAAATTGCCTCAGTTCTTCAACTAAACTTACACTAATCAAGGACAAGGACTCATCCTGGATTTCTCTGGAAATACTTCCAACACTGACACAGTGATGGCTGGCATCTAGTAGTTGCTCTTGCTTCAACCTATTCCCTCAAAGTCCCATGTTAGTCCTTAACATGCATGATTCCTCCTCTGGTTCTGCTGGCCTTGAGTTTTGACAGTTCTGTGGCTGAAGATTACTTGCATACTCTTTTCTCTCGTCATCACTGTCTCATACCACCAAGTTGATGAAAGCCTGTGTCTTGGTAAAGAACTTCTCCCAGAAGGAGTAACCTTTACCATTTTTTCTCAGGATATTTATCCAACAAGTATTCATGATTCTTCTTCCATAAGTCAGCTGGGAGGGCCCAGAAACAAACCAAATACAAGATCAGCACCCCAGGCAGAGCTATGACTCGGTTCCGTAAACAGTTATGTGGATCCGTAAACAGCTATGTGGATGGTCCCTCACACAGACACAGCGTCCTCATTCTCTCCTTATTTTCTAATATCTAATTTCTTCAGGTGACTGGGCAGGTACCTGTCATGGCATAATTATGCACCCATTTCTCTGCTGTCATTGAACCAAAGATTTTCTTCCTTCCTGCAAACTGACATGACGGATATCCATTTAGTGGAATGATTATTAGTATAAAATTACTTTTTTGGCCCTTAAATTTAATTATGCCACACTCATAACAATAAAATAAATTCCTAAATCCAGGTGTGCCTTTCAAGGAAAAATGTCCAGAGCAATTATCTTTGATAATGGTGGCCTGTACTTTTAAGCCTTTTTGTCTGGGATCTTAAAATCTTTTCCACACAAGTAGATAATGATGTTCATTTTGTAAGGGGTGAGAGGTGAAGTACTGACCTCTGGGTGTACTCAGGAGATGAAGCAAAGTCCAGAATCCAGGTGTCTCCTTTGTTTTATTTTTCCCCTCCCCTTCTCTTTTCAGTTCGTTAAAAGAAGCATGGCCAACTTTCTGTTGATTTAAATACCTCTACATTTTTAACTGTGTGAAAGAAAAAAAAAAAAATCTGTATCACTTTTCATGTAGGAACCAGTTGAGATTCCGAGAGAGGGGAGGGTTTTCGTATATACACACGTATCAGAGGTGTGGAGTACATGCCTCTCCTGGTAAATCTGCCTCACCAGTTGCTGTGAAGTTGATTCCAACTCACAAGATCCCATGTGTGAGAGCAGAACAGCTCTATAGGGCTTACATGACTGTGCCCTTCCAGAAACAGATCACCAGGCCTTTCTTCTGAGGTGCCTTCAAGTGGGTTCAAGATGCTGACCTTTCAGTTAGTAATTGTGTCCTAACCATTTGCACCCCTAACGATTCCTATCTCTATTACTTTTAGCTCTGAATTAAATGTGGGCTCCATGAGTTCATAAGGGAAAAGCAGTTGGAGCAGTTCCTGACACATGGCAAGCCCATCTAAGTGCTGGCTTTTGTAATTATCTAACTGATGTCTATGTTGCTGTTGTGAAGTGCCATCGAGTCGGTTCCGACCCATAGCGACCCTGTATAGGGTTTCCGAGGAGCAGCTGGTGAGCTTGAACCGCCGACCTTGCAGTTCAAACGGCTTTGCAGTCTGGTGCATTAACCCACAGCGCCACACCAGGACTCCACTGATGTCTATAGGAAATATCTGTCTGTGGAGAAACATTTGGAGTGTGTCTTTGCTTGTGCTGTTGAACAGCTTGGACTGCACTTCCCTTCCCAACTGAGCCTTTCCAAATCTTTAGGAACCAGTTTAAGTCCAATTTCCCTCCTCCAGGAAACCTTCTCAGATCCTACGCCATTTATCTCATACTCTTCGTAACTCCTTTATCATTTTCTGTGTCAGCTCAACAAACTTGAATTGATCATCTGTCTCATACGAGGGCAGGCCTCATTAGAGCACTAAGTCACGGTCATGTACTATCCTGTAATATTCTTAAACTATTGTATGGATATTTGTCTTGGGTCTAATGGAATTATTAGGTCTTGAGGGGAAACTATCTAATACATATGGTATGGTGTTTGTATTTGTGTTCCCTATAGTATTGCCTTCCTTTAGATGGCAGAGCTAATTTCCTTTTACTAACTCATTAACATTCCCAGCCAGGGTTTGCTTTCATGCTTATATCTCCTGATGAAAGCCACTGACGCTGTTTGCTCTTTGGTGTCTTCCAGGATTTTCTTCCCAGGAAACCATCCCGTCAGAGGTGTGCAGGTAATGAAAGTGGGCAAACTGCAGCTACATCAAGGCATGTTTACTCAGGCAATGAAGAATTTGAGACTGGTGAGTTTCCCAAGATCTTGTATCTGTCATAGAGCAACATCACAGACTCTGCTTAAAGTAAAAGCAGCAGATGTGTATTGAGAGATAGATTTGGTGTGGAACAGAAAGGCATTCAAATTCGTGGAGTGAAAATGGATGCTCCACCAGACAATGAGGAAAGTATACTGTTGTTTGGTTAGAACAGGAACTAAAAGTTACAAAAGCATAATTGGAGAAAAGACAATTGGGGTAGCCAAAGACAGGATATCTAAAAGCAGGAATGAACAGAGATAAGTGGCTGACACATAAGTGGGGTCACATGATTGGTAAAAGGTACATGCATTTTTACCACAGGATGGTCACTGGGCAGTGGCAGGATAGGCTTTTCTGGCAACTTATTGGTGAGATTGTTTCCTCCATTGTGTCTGTTTCTGGGGGTACACAATACAGGTTTATTGATAATGCTGTGCATGAAGCCCCTTCAGATGTAAGGGATCACATCTTGCAGCTGTATGACCACAGTGGATAAACCCTCTGGAAATAGATGGTGATATCCCACACCTGGTGTAGTGCTGTAGGATCAGCACTGGACTGCAAATCACAAAGTCAACAGTTCGAACCGACCAGCTACTCCTCGGAAACACTACACAGAATTGAAAACACTTAACACCACAACATCCCGCACCTGGTAGGCCTTAGAGAAGACGAATGTCTTCTTTAGGTTATAAGGTTAGGTCACCATACAAGTTAGGAGAACAGCTGTTAGAAAAGGCAGCTTTTAAAATTCAGCATGGATTCTAGATTCAGGTCAAGACTTTAAAATGGAGTTGTTGTTGTTAAGTGCCATCGAGTTGGTTCCGACCCACAGCGACCCTGTGTAGGGTTTCCGAGGAGCAGCTGGTGAGCTTGAACTGCCAACCTTGCAGGTCAAACAGCTTTGCAGTCCAGCGCATTAACCCACAGTGCCATACCCTGCTAAGACTGTTCTCTTCACATACACCAAGCATTTTCTTTTAAACTCTACTAGATACAGCTCTGTCTGCCTACTGTTAATGGCTGTTGCTGGCCCTCTTCTTGTGAATTGTAACATACACGAATATACATGCACACACACAAGGATGTGCTTGACAACAAGCCCCACTCACCCAGCAAAAAGCTGTGATTTGTAATATTTTTGGAATTTTTGGTATAAATATGCCTACTGTGTTGGTTTTAAGCTACCAATGTGAAATCAACTAGTCTGCAAAAATCATAAAAATGTAGCAGTTAGCATCTCCAGACTGAACTAACCAGACTGCAATTATACTTGATTTTATAGTGGACAGATCAGCCTTCTCACCTGTTGCCCACAGAACACAGTCCAAATTCCTTGCAGGTCAATCAAAACCCTTGACAATGTTTCTGTCATTCTCTTTTGTAGAGTCTGCATGCCCCTTCTACCTCCTCACACCCAGGGCATACTGCCCCACTTACTGTTGTCCCACAACACCCTGATGTGCCCACAATTCATTCTTTACACATCTGTCTCCTCAGCCTTAAATGCACTCCTCACCCTTACTCCCTGACAGAACTCCACTGATCTTTAAGCCTCAGTCTAAATGCAATTCCTCCCTGTGCGTCTACAAACCTTTGTGTATTCTGTCAGTAAAGCACATACTACATTGTTTCACATTGTTTCAGCAACATACACATAAAGCCACACATTGGCCCCACACCCTGGGCTGAGGAGTCATTGTGGTTATCTTCATAACCAGTTCAGTGCCAACTAAGGTTCCTGGAACTTAGTATAAATATTCATTATGAGGGGAAAGAAGGTGAAGAGGTCAGTACACTTATAGCAGTAAGTGCTAAGAAACTGGGTCAGTGTTGGAATTCATTGTTATAAGAGTGGCATTTATTTTCACCTTTTCAATGAATTTCCCCTGCCCTAGAAACCCAGGCTCTCTGCTGTCCTCATCTACCATTCTGGGCAGCAACTTGTCCTGACCTCCCATCATAACAAAGTTCCCTCTTTGCCCAATTATTGGCCAGGATAGTTAAAGTTTTGTGACAACTTGACGAGGCCAGGATTTCTGGTGTTTTAGCAATAAGGACAATAATCCACCAAGATGAGATAGAATATAATGTAATCCTTCCTCATGATGTGATCTGATGTGATCAGCCCTGATCTCATATAATTATCCTATGTGTTGTAAATCCTCACTTCTGTCATGTTTATGAGGCCGGATGCAATCTACAGGATTAGATTGTATTTGAGTCTGTCTCTTGAGATATAAAAGAGATTACACAGGCAAGTAGAGCTCAGAGGGATGTACTACAACCAAGAATGAAGAGCTGGGAGTGGAATATGTCCTTTGGACCTAGGGCCCAGGGAAACATTGATACCAAAACAGCCTACAGATGCTGACAGGAGGCAAGGGCTTTTCTCCAAAACCCACAAAAGCAAAGTCTTTTGCTGACTTTGGATTTTTAGCCTCCTAAGGAGCTCTGGTAGCGTAGTGGTTACGAATCAGGCTGTGAACCGCAAGGTCAGCAGTTCGAAACTACCAGTGGTTCTGTGGGAGAAAGATGAGGCTTTCTGCTCCCGTAAAGATTTACAGCCTCGGAAACCCTGTGCAGGGTCGCTATGAGTCGGAACCGACTCCATGGCACTTAACAACAACAACAAACTGTGAGAGAATAAATATCTACTTGTTAAAGCCATCCACTTGTGTTCTTTCTATTACAGCAGCACTAAGCCAAGATAAGGAGTCTTGAAATGGCGCTGTGGGTTAATGGCAGCAAAGTCAGTTTGAACCCCAAGCTTACCAGCTGCTCCTCGGAAACCCTATATAGGGTCACTATGGGTCAGAACCGACTCGACAGCACTTAACAACAACAACAAAGATAAGCTAGGGAGTGCAGTGTCTATCTATGATAAGCACTAAGACTGTGAAACACAAGTTTGGTGGTTCAAACCCATCGGCCACTCCAGTGGGAAAAACATGAGACTTCTAATCCTGCAAAAGATTTACAGTCTCAGAAACTGAAACAGAATCTCCATGGTACTTAGCAATGCCAAAGATAAGATAACAGACAATGGCCTTCCAAAATGAGAATTCACATGCTTATCTGACACAGATGTAGTTTCTGTGGAAATTCTACCTCTGGAGAGCACCTGATCCTTTCATTGGATTCCTCTGGGCCACAATGCCATTCTCTATAGATAAGCTTCCATGGAGGGATCCAGGGCCCTGGAATAAAAGTGGTCTTCCATGGTTGTTACCTGCATCTAAAATTCAAAACCAAACCCACTGGATGATATACAGGGCTTCTAAGACGAAATCTTTACAGGAGCAGACAGCCTCATCTTTCTCCGGCAGAGTTGCTGGTGAGTCTAAAACACTGACCTTAACGTTAGCAGTCCAATGCCTAATCCACAGTGCCAACAGCCATTCCTCAGAAACCGTATACAGTACTGCTATGAGTCGAAACCGACTCAATGACTCTTAACAACAACAACAATATAGGGTCACTCTGAGTCGGAATTGAGTAGATGGTGGTGGTAACCTACATTTAGAGGACAAAAATGACAGACGCCTAAGGGATTCTTAAAAATAGGATTCCCTTCTTACCAGTTTTTGTTTCATGTTAACCATGCTGCCTTTTCTTGATCTGTAATCAAAAACAGTCAAAAGAATGTACTGGAGACACACAATTCTTCATGCTCTTTTTCCCTCGATGCATGTCTTTATCCAGGTTTGTGGAAGAACACCCAGCAGTCTCTTGCAGTAACAGGGACAGCTTTTTCTTTCTGGTCCAACTAGTTTTCAGCGAGTCTTATTAGGCAACAAATCTTTAGTGAGAATCTATTGTCTAAAATTTTGGACTGAAAAATAATGTGGATGAAATTTCTATACTAATAATAGATGTTTCATAAGTGATCTGGTTAATCCTTTATGTGTATATAGGACTGGGAAGTACTAATACTGCTTGTACATACATGATTTTATCTGGTCCTCATGACAAATGACAGCCATATGAAGTCAGTGGCATAGGCATTTTTTATTCCCATTTGAAAAATGAAGGATCTAAGGCTTGGAGACATTCAGAAGTTTTTCTAAAGTCACATTAAGGCAAAGCCAGATCTAGTTTGTTCCATTTAATTCATCACATGTTCATGAAATGCTTCTATTAATCAGAATAAGACCCAATGTTGTCCTTACAATTTAGCAGAGGAGCCAGGCCTGTTAACAAGTCATTAAATTCAGGCTAGAATCCAAGGCTCTGTTCTTTTCCTCTAGCTGGCCCACTGAAACAGATGAGATTTTCTAGTAGGACTCAGTATGTAGAACTCTATCAGATCTCTCTGTATTCCTGATGCTAAGTCAGAGGAAAACATAGAGGACATTTAGGGTTTTTTTTTCCATTCTTCATGTGAGGCTTTAGCAATTGCATGAAAAACCCTAGAAGGAGACCTGGGATACTTCTAGCAGCAAAGACAAGCCTTTATGAACCCAGACAGACATCTAGGTACAACTTTAGGGGATAACATGGATGAGGCTGATTGCTGGCCCTTCCAATGCCCTGTAGCTCCCCCGGTACCATTTCCATTCTCTGTCATCCTCAGGCTTCTTGTGAGGTTGCCTCACCTCCTCTAGGAGTTGTTCTTGATAATCAGTCTAATGTCTCCTGCTCCTGATACCTAAGATCAGGCCAAGCATGACACCGGATATTCACCAAATGAAAGATATTCTGGGAGTAGCGTTGGAGTGCCCCTGATGCTGCGTTGGTTAAATTATAACCTTACGCCAAATCTCTCCTTTGATGCTAGAAAAGTCACGGAATCACTTCTAGGTTCTAATGATCAACTAGGAAGCAAATATTCACTCCAGTGTGATATAGATTTAGATTTAGAATCTGTAGGTTCAAGTTCCATTACCAGCACTTACTAATTTTATCACTTGAAAACCAAAACACCAAACCTGCTGTTGACTCCAACTCATGGAAACCCCATGTGTTGCACAGTTGAACTGCACTCA